AAGAATGTCAGTAATGACCTGCATAAGAGCCTCAGAAACCCAAGCACATTATACATCTACAGATGATTATGATATAATCATTCATGCTTAACTTATGTCCATATTTCTATTCTAGGACCCTTCAATTGATGACATCGTGATACCACATAACATTTTAGCTTGCTTGGAGAAAGACAGTTTAGTTGTGGACTTTTTTCTCCCAAGGAAGAAGAAATGGTATGTGACCTAAATGTGGACCTTGCTACTAGGCTTAACTCATGGAACATGCCTTGAGCAAATTTATTAAGACAAGAAAAGATAACACAAGAAACTTTAGCTTTGAAAATTATTAGTAATCAAGTCACTGCAAAAAGTGCTGACTAGTAAGGGTAAAACCGACTAAACATCAGAGTCTTACTGGTATGGTGGACTACTCAGGTGCAAATATGCTATTACGTATTTGAACAATTAGGACTAGAGTAATATGAAAAATGTAAGCAAGACTCTTCAAGCACACTAACAGTTAATAAATTGAGGGAAAAAGTTTATAATAAATTATAAATATATAAAATTAAAAAAGAATAAGAAAATGAGTAACCTATATGGGGCATTAGTAAAAAGTTTGCTGAAGTAAAGTTAAATTACCCCAAACTACTACAGAATTGGTCTATTAATGCTCGTGTAAAAAAGAAACAAAAAAGAAAGCTGGGCTTATTATGAGCTTCTTCTTAAGTTTTAACAACTTGGGATTATTAACACATCAAATCGAGGGAACATAGTTGGACTTCATTTGAAAACAAAAACAAAAATTGGCTTTCTTTTATAAAACAAATTAAGCTCCCAGTTAACAAAGATTTGGCTGTGTTCATAAAGAAGTTTTGAGCCTGATGAGAAATGAGTTGCATAGCCAACAATATATCAAGAGACCAAATAAATTATCATATTGATGGCAGAGCACAGTTGTTTTGCGTACAAGATGGGTAGGTCTGGGGTTAATGGTAGGCGTGCAAGAGTTGCAATTTGGGGTTTGGATGTGGTGAAGTTGCAGATAATAGGTCTAAGAATGAATTTGAGTTTGGATTAGTAGAACTGAAATTGGATGAGCTCCAGCAGCAAGACCCAATAAATTTAAAATTAACAATAATGTGATAAATCATCATTGAGAAGTAAAATTCTGAAGGTAATTTCCAGTCCCTAGGTGTTTAAGACAATCCAAAATTCAACCATGTAAGGGCTTCCCTTTAGTAAAAGTACATCAAAGAACAAAGAAGATGTCGGCCATTTATTTTTAGAGGATTTGTTTGCATGGATGCTTTACTTCAACCAGTCCAAGGATGAAGATATGGGCCATGAGGATAACAGAGACACTCAAGTTTACAGAGGTATCGACGGAATTCTGATATTGGTGACTGAATGGAAACAATTGCTACTTGGTTGCCTTAATTAGGGACTAAAACACAGACTAGACTCGGGTTGTTGATGCTCTTACTCTTCTTTGTCGTAATAAAAAATCAGCAGTTTTTCTCTGTTTGAATGCCAACATGGAAATATCCACTGATCTCTGATATTCTGCTGAAATATCGGAATATCTAGGATACTGGGGAAGAAATTGGTTGACCTCTCTATATCAGAATATCGGCTGATATTTTCATCTTTAATCCTAACAAATAAGGGTCAGTATGGCAAGGATATTGGACACTCCAAATATGTGGATACATTTTGTGATATCTAGCTCTGAAAATAAAAAAAATCATAAATTTTTTTTAAGACAAGAATGTTCACACCAATGACCAATCCAGTTCTGTTCCACCAACTAAAACTCGATTTATTTGGGTTCTCTTTTGTATACATTTGGCCAGGTCATCACAATTCACAAATAAGCATAAATATAAAGTGCACACTGCACATACATGCACATATTAAGTACTACATGCATTGTACAGATAAACATATGCATTTTACAAGATATGCATCTCTCACACACATTAGAGAGGGAAGGAGAAGAGAGAGAGAGAGAGAGAGAGAGATTATATTCATGCCTTAATTGTTATGTCTTCATACATTGAAAGTACGGCCTCCACATTCTGATGATGAGTGTTCAACCGCAATTTCACCTTGAAGAAGTACATGCAAAAGAAAATGTAATATTCTCGCTAAGAAATAAGACTTGATTAGAAAACCTACGCACTAGCAGAGGGTTAAGGAACTATTAAACAAGAGGGAAATGATAATTGATTACCTTGAAGTCAAAGTATTACAAATTCGAAGAATGATTTGAAATGTACCTTTTCTTCTGTATCATCAAAACGTTGGGTGAGCCTTGACGCAATCTCTTGGGTCTCTGGTGGAGAATACTTTAAATGGTATATCTTTCCAGTAATAGGATCTAACCTTCTTCCAACAACTCTCTCAACAAGAATCTCTTCAGGGACCTGCAAATGCAATGTCACATGGATTACAAGAGTTATGAAGTGATATTACTTTTTGTGTCCAGCAAAGGGGAATTTACATGGGGGTTTTTTCCCTCTATGCATCAACAAAAGCTGAAATTCATGTTACAAAATGAATTTTCATGGCTTATAAACTTACAAAGAAATCAAATAAAATAACTACAATATGTAAATAAGCTTCTACAAGCTCCTATCTATTTACAATGCTCCTTAACAATTATAAATAACAACCGCATAAAAAACAATTCCTTACTTCTAGAAGAATGAAAAGATCCGGCTTAAACCCTAATTCCTTAAGAGCAATTGCTTGTGATGAGCTCCTAGGGTATCCATCCAAAAGCCAACCTTTTTCTTTAGAATCTGGCTGCAATAGACGCTCCTTCACCATCTGCAGGATTAAAACCAAGGAATCACCACTAGAATGAAGATGTGTCGACATGAATATAATTTCCCTACCATGACAACTATTTCATCTGGAACCAATTGTCCTTGTTCCATGTACTCTCTTGCACGCCTTCCATTTTCACTCCCAGATGCAATCTCTGCTCTAAGTAAATCTCCAGCAGCGACATGCACTAAACCATACTGCATACAGGAGGATGACTCGATTCAATCTGCTTTTTATCATGAGAAAATCATGACATAAAGTGGTAAGTGGTAACTTATGTAAACAAAGGAATAATTCATTAGGATTTGAAAACTCCTCTGACCCGAACTTTTAATATCAAGATGATACACACATAATCATCTGAAATTCATCAATTGCTTTATGTGCACATCTTAGGGGAAAAAAAACTGCAAATTGATGTTCAAAACTTTTACTGAAATGCATAAGAATAGGATACATAACCCAAAATTGGCCTTTTAGGCAAAAAAGCATCAGTAAACTAACAAACCCTTTACGGTTTCTTCAGATGAGGTAATTGAAAATGCCATAAATTATTAAGAAAAACAAACACTGGCATTTTTAAGTAATATTTGGTAATTGTGAGAACTCACCTTCTGGGTAATGAGCTGGCATTGCGTTCCTTTACCAGAAGCTGGCGCCCCTGATATCATTATTCTCAGCGGCTCTGCCTTGGCAGACCCCACAACCTGTTTGAAATTAACAATCAGCCAAACCATGCTCAATTCTCAACCCAATTAAATTAAAGAAAAACCAAAAAATGACCAAAAATACAAAAAGCCTCTCTGATTGATTGAGTGTAGGTAAAATGCGTACCGGGAAATTCTGAGCTCTGCTGGAACGAAACGGAGTTAGGGTTTGAGGGCGAGAGGGAGAGAAACCGGAAATGAAAGAAGACTGTGAGGACAAAAGAAGCTTACAACAAGATTTGGGCTTTGAATTCGATGGCGCGGACAGAGACGTGTTCGGCCGCTGAGAAGGCTTGTTAGGCTGGCCTATGGCTGACGCCATTGCTGCTTGGTGGACTACGTTTACATTGCAAGCCATTTTGCTCTCTCTCTTCCACTCACGCTAGCCCCAGCGACCACTGAGATAGATGGAACCAAAGAAATTTTGATTCTTCGATTGGAGTGGGCAAAGTTATGGTCTCTGGATAGAGAGATTAAAAAGAAGGGCGCAATGGGTCATGTAGCAAGGGGTTAAAAAGAGTATTTACCCTAAAAAAGTTACCCCTATATTTAAACTTTCTAGGTTGGATTTATCCTCTCCAACATCACTTGTATAAAGAGAAACGAAATTACTACCCCCAAACTTTACAAATTATAGATATGCCATTATTTTTTCGTTAGGTGGCTCACACAGGCGTGCAAAGGCCTTTGGTCACTTGGTTAAAAACCTTTTTGGTCAGTGAGCCTCAAATTTAGATAAATTGGTCACTGCATACTTCAACATTTACAATTTATAAACGTGCAGTTATATTCTCATTAAGAAAAATATCCTTTACACTAACGGCTTGCTTAGGGATTGCTCATGACAAATATCTTGTTAAAATATGTATGTAAATAATATTAGAGTTTGCATAAGAAAACACTTTCACTTTGTCCCACATTGAAATAGAGTAGCTTCCACACATGATTTATAAGCACCAACTCACTTAAATTACTAAATAGGAAGTGGGCCTCGTGGAATGGACATTGGGCCTCACCTTATCACTTTCCCAAAAATAATCACTTTATCATAGAAGCATATGATTCTTGTATCTACAAGCATACGAGGAGGAGAAATAATGTCTAAAGAAGACTGCAATTATGAAGGACTCTATCACCCAACCAAGTCAATATTTTCTATTTAATTCTACTGGTGTATCAATTTGATTTGTTGATATATATAATATATTTAATTTTGTTTTATGCTGTTATTTGGTTAATTTTCGGATTGTTCTCCAACATATCATTCTTATTAAACATTTATACGTTAATGGGAAAATCGAACTCTCTTCTTACAATGGTTTTGGGTGAATGATTTATGCTTAAGACTTTTCGGGCACTAAATGCATGCTTAAGAAATTTCTAATTACCGGGAATTGGATTGCTTGACTTCCCTTGTAGGCACTGTTGTTCTTTACTTCCTAGGTGCAATGATATATGCCTCGGTCTTTCTGAAAATGGAAAAGAATAAATGAATCTCATTCGTTTCAACTGATTTATACACTGGTAAACCAAAAGCATAAATGAATCTCATTCCTTGGTGCAATAATATTCCTCGGTCTTTCTAAGACATGTACTACTTTATCATCTATGCCCAAAAGAATTGGGACGAAAAGACATACAAACAAAGATATATACATAACTTATATAGCAACACTGGTAAACCAAAAGGTATATATAAAACACATACAAGTTTCGACTGAGAGTTATATTTTATCCGTTCCATTGCTGCAAATCAATCACACATGTCCAGATTTACTTCCATCCATGAAACAAGGCTGTTGACATGAGGCAGGTATGTTGCAGAAGACCTCGGGATACATCCCTCTACCATCTCAACCTTTCTCATGTCTTGATGTTGGAAGTCATAAACATAAAAGGAACCATCTTCGTCTCGCTTGAAAATAATGTCGCCCTTGATTCTTAAACTAAAAAGGGGAACCATGTCTATTATGGAACCCACAGTGATACTATGATACTTCGTCCAGACTTCTCCATAGAAACCCTTCAAGATCCAAATGTCAATATGGTTCACGTCCTCATGAACAACAAGACCCAAAGCGCCACCCATTTCAACAATCCTATCATGAGTTCTGCTACTTCTTGGGAGTGGAATTTGATGAAACTTCTCCTTATCGACTTCAATAGACACTACGTATTCGCTACGGTCAACTTGGGGAATCCAGTGCAGACCTCCAATTGCTGAAATAGGTCCATCTACAAACCTATTAAAGAACCCAAATGAAGGACCATTGACTTCTCTCCATGCTTTTGTCCGAAGACTCAAAATCTCACAGCTGACATACCTCAACTCATCCCGAAACAAGTGGACTACTTTATATTCACCAGTAGAATCAATCAATGCAAAACCATAGGACTCATCATGTGGACGAGATAAAGTACCCAGCGGAAGTGCAATCAGCTTCCTAGTCACAGGATTCATGACTACTAGTCCTCCGTTCTTCAATTTGTTATCAAGCAGAATTAGACCGTTACAGGTGGCTCTAATATTGCCAGAGCAGCTTAAACTGTACTCTCCTCTCTTGCTCTTATCATTTTTAAATTCCAGAAACTGGACAGAAAACCTTGGAGCATTTATGGTTGTGTGGTTGAAAATGGGGATAGGCTTTGGGTGAAGAAGATTTAATTCAACTGAAACAGTGTTTGGCATATCTTTTGGTACCGAAGCCATAGAAAAAGGGTATAGACTTTCATTTGGAAATGGTGATAGAAAGATCAAAACAGATTCAGAGCGATGGAGATGAGCATCAATGAATTTGGGGTTTTTAATTATGTTATACCAAGGTTTGCAAACAAACCTTGACCTTTGAAGAGAGTCAAGAGGAAGTCGCACAAGGATATTTGCGATACAATCTTTATGGAGATAAGGAACTTGTTTTTCTCGCTTATGTTTTTTCTCTTCCTCTATTTTCTTGTTCAATGATCTCTCCTCCACTAACCTTAATAAGCCAACATTCTTGCTTCCTAGTGATTTTGCCATCGTGCCTTTTAGAAGCTCTTAACACCTATAGATACAATGATGACATTATAAACAATCCATTTTGAAATAAAGAAAGAATTAAAGAAGCAAGAGGAGGATACACAGCACTTGGCAGCTTTCAGGAAAGTATCAAATGACCAAGTAATAGAAGATATTATGTGTTAAAACTACTTTTTGTTCATAAAAGGGAACCGTTACCAGTTCTTCTCTTTGGTTCATGCTCTTTTAGGTGCATATAATGGTCCACACACGAACATAAACAAAAAGTTATTTTCTAGCCCCCTATTATTTATTTCATTTATTTTTATAAGTGCCTGCTTATCTCGTCTCCTTGAAACAGATTCAATTACCAGTATGGTATCACTTATGTACATATTTTCCACTCCCTCCTCAGCATCCCTATCTCTTGTATGTCTGTGGAAATTGATCTTCTACATCCTTCACCAGTAAGTAGGGTCTACATGTGAGGAGAAAGGAAGAAGCCTAACTGTTAAAATTCAACATACGAATCTTAAACCAGCAAATATCCTAGGGCTCCTTCTATAAGTCTGGCTTAGGATGCAACAGCATGTGAAAATTTTGTGCATGTACATGATCGCCTAATGTAAATCAATAAATCAAGTCACCATGAACCCTTAAACAGAAGATCTGATTGATCACCTATTTTAATTAAAGTTCAAAGTTAAGGAAACTTATGTAGTCCCTTAGTCCAAGTTTAGTCTTGTAAGACTAGATCTACTAACCTATGTTCCTCAAGAGTGCCTAGGTAAGGGATCTAAACAACTTTCATTCATGATCAATCTTCTTAAATTCTGGCATTACAATCTCCTATGAATGCATCACTTCAAGAAATTGAATTGATGGAACTTTTAGATCATATGTTCTGGCATAATTGACAAGATTGGCTTCTAATAAAACAATCTTCCATTTATGTGATTGTTTTGTTTCCAAAACCAGGCAAACAATTATAACATAACTCACACTCAACTAGAAGGGAGAGGGAAAAAAAAAAAAAAAAAAGACCTTGATATATGCTCTGATCATTTTGGAGTATGCTCATCCTATCATCCATTTTAATGGTGTCAATTGGGCCAAAAGAAATCAATACGCTTAGCCTTATCTTTGCATACTTACTGGCCTCAAAGCTCATATGAGAGGTTTTCATGATCAAAACAGATTCATTAGCAAAGAATATGTAATTCATTTTTCACAATATCCAGAAAATCTCTAGCAAAGGGAAAATTCAAGAGCAATTTAGTAAAAATAGAAAAAACCCACAACCAAAAACACAAAATAATTTCCTAAACAAAGTGAAAATGGAATGATCAAAAGAGTAGGCGAAGCAGAGAGCATGTAGTGTACCTGATGAGGAGAGCGGTTGTCGTCTCTATGCGATGTGAAGAGTGAGAAAGTAAAACGTTTTCTGAGCGTGCAAGACTTTTGTGAAGAGAGCGCGACCAAGAAAGGGCTCCGTTGTTACCCAAGCGACGACCCATTGTTTTGTTTTTTTCGCCTCATTTGGAATTTGGAAATGGTTGACGACGCTGCTGGTCGTTTTTCTTGTTTTTACTTTTTATTTATTCGGCCGGGCCCTCCTCCCATTGCTTCTGTCGTTTTTCCCGGTCCACTCAGCAACTCGTAAACGGATCGGATTTCAGTCCGAATTTGATTTCAATCTAATAATTAAGGTAATTTTCACTTTATTACCATAAACATTTACTGAGTTTCAACCCTTTAATACATGAAAAGTTTTTTTCATCTTAGTCGCATATATAAAGTTAATTTTCCTACAACTTTCATATATATGGTCATTCTTGCCGTTAATAATTATGTTAACCACTAATGTGGCAATAAATATGTTACATAAACCCAATCATATAGTGCTACGTGATATGACAAAAAATAAAAATTAGTTTAATTAATCAATTAAAAATGTCCCTAAAATCAATTAAAATGTTAAAATGATATATTTATTAAATAAAAATAAAAATATATATATATTAAAAAAATTAAAGTAATAAAATCAGTCTCCATCTTTCTCTGTCTTGTTGTTGTATTTGGTCCTTGAAAAAGTTGTATTCATATTTGGCACCTTAGTTGCATTGTACTGTTTTTCTTTCTTTTATCAATAAAATACTATCTTATTTTATCAAAAAAATAGGAGATGAATTTAGAGTCTTAATTCAAGAATTTGATGAGTTATTTACACTAACATCCCCTGAAGTTTCAGAAATTACTTGAACACCCCTAGGTTTTAAATTGTTTTTATAAAACCATTTTTCGTTGATTTTTCGTCTAAAGATTGATTTTATATATAAAAAATTCCTAAACTCCCAAACCAACTTCAATTAACAGAATTAGTAATTTTAAAAAGACCAATTCACAAATTAAGCTGACATAGAGAAACGCCTCAAATTAGACGCATAAGAGACGAAGAAGATCGAGCAATAGATGCAAAGAAGAAATCTAGATAAGGATACGTTATCAAGAAATTGAGCCACGATAATGAAAAGAAACACTTGGCCCAAGGTCACACAGAGAAGAAAGAGGACGTGAAATGTAGCATCAAAGAAGTTGCAGGCTGCCAAGGATGGCGAGAAGCTGGAAGACGAAGCATGTATTCCTTCTTTTTTCCAATTTTTTTTAAAAACAAAATAAAAGGGTGTTTCAGTAAGACAAGGAGTATGAGGAAGAAATAAGATTATTGATTATGAGTGTCACTAGATTAATTTAAGGGCCGTTATTAAAGAGGACCTTTATATGACATAATTTTTAAGTCTTTATGTAAGCGAGAATGCTAAGTATCTAAATTTAATATCCAAATATTAAAAAAATTACAAAAAACCTAAAAAATATTTACAACTTATTTAAAAAATGAAGAAACCGCAAAAACAATTCGGATCGTTAGAATAAAATCCGCAAGACTAAAAACAAACATATCAACCAAATAAAGTTATTTGAGATACCCAACAAGACTAAAAACAAAAATAATTTCTTTATATCAGAAACAACAGGTGAGATGAGAAATATCGAAACAAAGAGCTAGTCGGTCCATTTTACTGAAAAAGAAAAGCAGCTGAGTGACTCTTTTGCTGTGCGAGTCCGTGAAGCAGGAGCAGGCAGCCACGTCATCGAGCCTGCCCCTTCTCAATCTAATGGTTTTGAGATTGAGGCTCTTGGCGAAGGCCATTAGTCGAACCAGCACATATCATCGGTAATTTCTTCTTCTTCTTCTTCCTAACATAGCTTTCCCGTCTTCTTCTCCTTCTTCTGCAACATTTCTGCAAGCAATTTTTGACGTAACAGTGGTGGGTGCATTATGCATATCTAGTAAATGACTGAGTGAGATAGAGTTTATGTCTTCATTGTTCTTTATCTCCCTTTTTTACTGTTTGAAAATCGAGTACAATATCATTCTGTGTCTTCTTGGTTGCAACTGAGCTATCCTTGCATGATTGCAACTTTGTATTCCTGGGTTTTTTTTTTTTTTTTTTGAAAAACTTTTTACTTTGATCTTTTGGATGTTGGTCTGGCCCTCTTCCATGTTTTTAACCACCTTCAGAAAATAAAGACCTTATAGGAAAGGTGGTGTTTTGATTGTTTTGGTTAAATTTTGGTTCTCATTTGATGCTTGACTTTCTGTGTTGCGCTTTGTTTGCTTTGTTCTCTTTCAAGTCGCCTATCAAATCATTAATCCAAAATTTAGATTTCATTATATCTCTCTCTGATTATATTTTACTTCAGTTCAACAGATTCTCATATTAGCATTTTTGTTTAGTCTAATGTCCTGCAGTGCAAATATCTCGGGGAAGGTTGAGAGAATGGTTGACAACGATGAGAAGAAAATTACCCGTGTTCTCTTTTGTGGGCCACATTTTCCTGCTTCTCATACATACACAAGAGAATATTTGAAGGAGTACCCCTTTGTCCAGGTTCCTTGATTTTCTGCATTTTCTCTCTATTTGGGATCGGTACCCTTTGATTGATTCTTTGACTTACTCTTTAATGTCATTTGAAAATTGATTGGCTCTTGAATGACATAAATGGACCAACTCTTTTGATTACCACTGACATTTTTCTTTGGACCAAAAAAGCATCACTGGCAAACTTCGACTAACATGTTTACTGGTTTCCAAATGGTCTTTTTATTTTCTAACCACGCTATTGCTTCTGTATCACATTTCTAATCTATCTATCTCTATCCAATGGTCCTTCCTATGGATGTTCCATTATGTATTTCCAACGCTCCTTCCTATTCATGTCACATTGAGTATTTCAAGTTTGATTATCATAGGTAGATGATGTTCCCCTTGATGACGTGCCTGGTGTTATCCAAAATTATAATATCTGTATAGTGAAAACCATGAAGTTCGATTCAAATCTTCTCTCTCGTGCAGAAAAGATGAAGCTTATAATGCAGTATGGTGTTGGCCTGGAAGGTACTTCTATGTCTATCAAATTGTTATAAATAGAGCGTTTGGGATATCTTATGTGTATATATGCTTACAATTTGTATTTGATTTACTGAAGGGGTTGACATTGATTCTGCAACTAAGTTTGGAATCAAAGTCGCTAGGATTCCGAGTCATGTAACTGGAAATGCAGCATCATGTGCAGAAATGGCGATTTATCTGATGCTGGGCCTTTTACGAAAGCAAGTATGTTAAGTTTTTACAATCAACTTTTTTTTTATCTTCTTTTTTAAAGCCTTTATGATATGCCAATTTTTTAATTTTTTTTCCTCCTAGGTATTGTAGTGTTGAATGCTTTTGTTCGTGTCCTACTCCTTTCAATTTATGATCACCCAAGTAGCCTCACATTTGGATATGGTCAGCGCTCTATGAAAAACCAACTTCTTACTAATATGCTATATAGATTTTTTTTATTTTTAAAAAGGGGCACAACTATAGTGTACAGCTTATGTACAGCTTATATAGTGGCCAAACTGTCCACTGAAGCACAGGAAAAACCTTAGCCCACCAGGACTAAATGTTAGAAAAATAGATGTAATATTGCTACATTAATTTGTAAAATACAAAACTCAAATAAACATGTAATTAAAAGATCAAAACTCTACAACATACAACAAATACCCAAGTAAGAGAGGCAGAAAAATTGTAGAAAAACTTTACTTTGTTGAGGCTAGTGTTTGACACTATGGCCTTAAGACAATATTACGCCCAACACTGGTTAGACTTCAGTTAGGCCTCCTCGTTTGGATAATGTCACAAGTCACTCTATCACAAACAATAATCCAACTCCAAATTTTATGATTTAGTACTTAGAGGGATATGTTACTAGGCTTCCTAACTCCTTCACTTTTCTGTGTGTATAGTGTAACTAGCTACACCCCAAATCAGTGTTTGGCTTTGGCATTCAAGAAGGAGTAGACATATTTAGACATTTTCTTTATGTGAAGTGGTTCAATAATATCTAGTTTAAAAAAAATAAGGAGGGAGTGGTGATTAAAATTGGTTTAGAAAAGTGGTCATGGTGATTGCGGTTCTCTAAATTGTTTGTTTGAAAGGAAAGGTGTTGATAGTAATGGAGGAAGGGGAGGAGTGGATGCTTGAGTTCAACTTTTGTTTCATTTACTATTAGTGATAGGGATGGATTTAAACTTCTAAGGGTCTCATACAGGGTGATCTCTGAAGTAGTTTGTTCATGAGTGTTAGAAATTTTACCTTGATTAAGGGTTTAGTTGTGGGGAGGGAGTGAACACAAGTATCTCATTCGCAGTTTGTAGATGACACAGTCTTTTTCACTTTGGGAAAGGACAACAATATATATATATATATATATATTTATATATATTTATATTTATATCTATGTGTGTGTATTTGGTTGATATACTGGTGGCCGAAGACCAAAGGACGATATAAATACATATATTTTAATTTGGTTATAAATATTCTATATTTGGGGTTAGTCTCAGATTTGAAAACGTCAAAAGTTAATGGTGGGTATGAACATTGAGAAAGGAAATTGTTGTGCTTAGGAAGGGGTTTGCGTTGTGATTGTTTGGAGTAACCCTTGTTTAAATATTTGGGAAGCAATAGTGGTAATGCCCTAGCTATTCTCCTTAGTATCAGCTAATTTTCTGCTAGGAAATGGTGCTAAGATTCAGTTTTGGAAAAGATGGTTGGTATGGTGATTTATCTTTCCATTCTTTGTTCCCCTATTTATATTGGTTATCTCTGAATCATAATGCATTGATGTGTTGTCTTGCTTCCTTACATCTTCTCATACTATTTCTTGAAATTTAATATTTGGGTAGAACTTGAATAGAGAAAATTTCTTGAAATTCACCCTGTC